AGGTATGGCATAGGAAAGAAAAAGTCCTGGGCAGTAAGGAATCCTTGATACTGTTAGGTGTGGGAGATGTGACTTGGAACACAACACGATAAACAGAAAATATTTTAACAAGTCCTCCTGCAGCCGAAATTGGTGGCCTCAGATCTGGGGTTTCCAGTTTACTTTTTAATCCATCTCTTAGCTTTTGCCTAAACATTCGGCAGTTATCATAAGGGACCTTAGATAAGTCCCTTGTCCTCTTAGTCTTTTTCCCCTTTGTAAGCAGCCTTCAGTGGAGAGATTTTTACATAAAATGCACAGAAAATGGAGGGAGCCGACTTCCTTCTGCCTGAGGGTCCCAGGACTCCAGGTTCAGGAAGCCCACCTCTGCGTGAACATCAGAACCTCGGGAGGGCGTGTGTCTTGCGGTCCCTCACAGAACTGGGGTTGGGGAGTTCCAGCAGGGGAAGTGGAGAAAGGAAATTCGTTTTTTCTCAGAGGCTGCCTCTTCAATTCGGGGTGATTCTGGCCCTGTTCTCTCTGCTTCCTGCCATTTTCTTACTTCCTAGTCATTGCATTGCTTGATAAATGCTAAACCAATATATGGCTAGGAACAAAGGAGTTTCCAGTTAAATAAATTCTTTGCTAAAATGTCATTCTTTTACAGAGTTTAGTGTGGGGAATGAAATTGTCGAGTGAGGGAATCCACTCCCCTATTTGTCCTCTGTTAACATAGATGAAGAATGGGCGGTAAGCAGACCCGACAGGGTGGTATCCAGGTGACTCTGTCTGTGTCTCTTCATGCAAAATGTCCCCACTTGGAAGTTCTTCACGAAGTGAATTTTGGCCCCCAGAGACCTAAGTGGGATCCCCAACTGTCTGTGTAGTCAGTAATGTGGTACCATTGGGGTGGGTGAGGATTTCTCAAGCCTGGCCCATTGACGGATCTGAAGGGCACATGTGGAACATTCTATCTGTCAGTTCCTCCTTATTCCTTGAGTTTGGGGCCAGAGAAAGACCACCATGCTCTTGTACCAATCCAGTCTGTTTCTCTTGTGAGGATCAGGAAACCGTTATTCCCACCAGACCCTTCATCAAGAATTATCATAAGGCAGGCCAGCACCATGGCCTACTGGTTAAGTTCGGTGTGCTCCGCTTCAGCAGCCCAGATTTGGTTCCCCAGCATGGACTGACACCACTTGTCAGCCATGCCCTGGTGGTGACCCACATAGAAAAAGAGGAAGATTGGCAACAGATGTTAGGTCAGGGCGAATCTTCCACAGCAAAAAAAAAAAATAATAATAATAATAATAATAATAAAATAATTATCATAAGGCAAAAGGTTAAAATTTAAATCTACATGGTCATTGGATGGATTGCTGTTCTGAGTTTTCTTAGATTCTGTATTTATTTGGCATCCATTAATTACAATGCCAAATTAACACCAAAGTTGTTTACATCTCCCCTGCCAACCAGAGCTCATACTCTGAACCACCCTCTTTATCTAAATCTCACACACGAAGCCAAGATTTCCCCATGCCCTATCTCAGTCTAGGGCCAGGTACCAGATGCTAGGGATAGCCTTATACCTCAAAGCCTGCTGGAATTATTCAAACTAGCCAATCCTGAGCTGTTTCCCCTGTCCTGTCCTGCTTTTCCCACAGAAACCCCATTTGAGGCTCTGGCCTATGCCTTCCCAATATTCCTTTCTGCCCCAGGACCAGCACTGGTGCTACCCCTTGTGGCCCTGCCTGGCGTGGCATGCCTCACCTTTCTAGGAGGACTGTGAATAACATTAACTGGTCTTTCAATGGCATTGACCTCTCCGTGTTGTCACTCCGTCACCTTAATAAATTAAGATCTGAGCACAAGTCAGTTGCTTTGGGAGCCAGTCATCCCGTCACTGAGCACATCCTTTTGAGGACGTCCTATTTGCCAGGCACAGTGCTAGGTTCTGGGCATGACTTTTCTTAATGTTATAAACTTGTAGCTTAGTTGGAGAGACAGGTCATATTTTTAAAAATAACTAAGTTCACAAGAATATGCTAAATGCCTTGTCAATGACACAAACCAGAAGCTCTGGAGAAGTTTGAAAGAAACCCCAGGCTTAGGCAATCAAAAAAGACTTCACTGAAAGTAAGCCCCGAGCTCGGCCTTGAACGATGGCTAGCATTCAGATAAAGAGGGTGGACAGACAATTCCAATTAGGAGAGAGAGCGTGATCAAAGTCATGGCGTAGAGCTGCATATGGCGTGTTTGCAGGAGGCTGAGCTCAAAGAGACGACCCCGAGGGATTTTGGACATTTTCAGAGGCAGGAAAGGAGGGGCTGTAGCTTATGACTCTCTGATAATTAGGTCGAACATTTATCTTACCACCTTCCAGTTGGTCAAAACCCACAAACCCCATGCTATTTTTCAGATGAAAAAAGTCTGTTGGAGGAAAAAGAATGCATGCACAGAGTAAGTCCCTTGGACTTCAAGAATGTAGCCACAGATGTGCCCAGGATGGGGGCTGTGAGTCCAGAGGAGGAGCTCCAGCCCAGGCTGGTGTGTGTGGGGAAGGTGTGGCAGACAAGGCTTTCTGGAGCCACGGGAGAGCTGGGTCTTGAGGGTGGACTTTGCTGGGTGACAAAGGAGGGGAAGGGCATTGTAGGTGGAGGGAACAGCATGAACTAAGGCACAGAGGTTTGAGACAACATGATCCCCGTGGGGCATTATCAGTATTTCAGGTTTGACCAGAGACGAGGTGGCCGCAGACCTTCTGTTTCTAGGTCCCAGTTCTAGTTGGACAGGAACTTAGCCCACCTTTCTGGGAGAATTTGGTCCAGTCCTTTTACTTAGAAAACTTTTTTCCCACTTATTTTTCCCCTTTACTTTATTCAGAGAAGAGTAACCAAAAGTAAAAAATAAAATTAATAGCAAAAACTTTTTCTAAATGGAAATTCTCAGTTGGAGGAAAAAAAGAGGCCGAAGTTCCTCAGGTGGACACTGTTCAGAGGCCGATCCCGTGGTCATCTGTAGAGCCACAGGAGTGAGTTTAATTGAAAGAGCGATTTTTTTTTTCCTTGTGCAAAAGACGCAGCTTGAATGAAGTCTCAAAGTGGAGATGGAAACCTCTAGCCTGTTTTCTGTCTTTCATTTGTTGGAGCAAGCTTGTGCTTGGAGGAGCAGGCATTTTGGTACAGTGATGCAGACAGCTGGTATTTCTCATTATCCACAGAAGCGCCAGCCTCCCACACAGGTGTATGCATTTTCATACATGTGAGTACTTTATAAACATGGGTGTTACACAGCATCAGGCACCTGAGGAGATTTTGTGCTGTCACTTGTGTCTGTTCAACGTGAGCTGACTAAGTAAAGGTGATTATAGGACTCTCAGTCTTCCAGGATGATGGACTGGGATTGGGTAGGGAGGGGAAAGGAAAAGGAAAAGAGTAGGTTCCTCTCCCTACATTTGTTCCATGGCTGTCATGCTCTTCAAAGACCACCCTCCTCAGTGTGGCCCCCAAGGCCCTGGTGGCTGGTCCCTGCCCCTTTCCAGCCTCATCCCTTTCTACCCACATGACACTAAGATGCCAGGTTTCTTTTCACCTCAGGGCCTTTGTACATGCTGGCCCCTCTGCTTGGAAAGTGGTTCTCCTTCCACTTTGTTGAGGTAACTCTTGTCATTCTTCAGATCTTACTCACACACCAGGAAGTGCCTCTCAGACCCCCAGGCTAGATCAGGTCCTTACGTATTCTCGTAACTCATGGTCCTCATACTATTAGTATTTAGGTAGTTAATTGTGGAAGTAGTGGTTGAGTGTCTCCTCATAAGAATATAAGCTTGAGGGGAATAGAAGTCATGTCTGTGCTGCTAAGTGCTACATCTCCAGACCCTTTCTCAGAGAAGGTGGTCAGTTAGTATATATGGAAGGAAAGAAGAGAGGGAGGCAGGGAAGGAAGGAAGAAACGCACAGGGGACCCGATTTGAATATCATCAAATATCTGTAGTTCACTGTTTAGAATAGTTTTAATAAGGTATAATTGACATACAATAAACTACGCATATTAAAATGAGCAATTTGACGCATTTCGAGGTACATCTACACCCATAAAACCATCACCACCATCAAAATAATGAATATATCCATCACTCCCGAAAGTTTCCTCATGCCCCCCTTATATCCCTCTCACTCACCCCCCCAGGCAACCACCGATCTCTCTGTCACTGCAGAATAATTTGCGCTTTCTAGAGTTTTCTACAAATGGAATCATACAATCTATACTCTTTTTGTCTGGCTTCTTTCACTCAGCAGAATTATTTTGAGATTCATCCTTGTTGCTGCATACATCGATATGCCTTGTTTGTTGTCTTTATTGCTGCATAGTATTCCATTATATAACTATGTCACAATTTATTTATCCATTCCCCTGTTGATAAACACTGGGGTTGTTTCAAGTTTTGAGCTATTACAAATAAAGAATCTCTGGGCATCTGTGTGTAAAAGTCTTTGCACGGGGGACATATGCTTTCATTTATCTTGGGAAATACCTAGGAGCAGAATGGCTGAGTCATATGGTAGGTGTATGTTTAAATTCTTAAGATACTGTCTGTGATTCGCTTTTCACCCCATCTGCTTCCAGTAGGTTGTTGTGAAGATTGCTAACGTGTCTCTAATGTGTGTTTTGAGTCCTGAAGGAAAAAAGGCAGTCAAGAGTGTGATGGGGGAATTCAGGACGAGAGAGAGAGCACGATTACATTTTCATTTGAGCGCAATCTAGACAATGGACAGCAGGTCTGAAGCCCCGGACTTTTTGATTGTCATTCTCCTCTCTCACATCACACAGTGTCTCCCGCTGATTCAATAATCAGTATTCCCCAGATAATTCCTTTGGGTTCTCCAAATATTGCAAACTTAGCAGTGAGGCAGAGGTCCACGTTTATCTGTGATCCAGCACGTTCTGCTACACGTAGATCATTGTCACAGAAACTTCTGCAAAATCCAGATCGCTAACCCATGTGTCTCTCTTCTCCTCAGGGGACACTTAAACTGGCTTCAACTAGATCGAAGAGTACTGGAGCATGACTTCCCCAAAAAGTCAGGACCGGTGGTTTTATACTTTTGTGTCAGGTATGTACACCTGGTGCCCACTCTTTGCTTCTTTATTTCTTTCTCTGTCGGAAAGCCGGGGAGAGTAGAGTGATGAAAGGAAAGAGAAGTCGAGTTTGTCTTGGTTCATTGCCAGTAATAGAGGTTACCGTACCACTACATTCCCAGTAGATATAAACCTGGGGCGTGGGTGTGTAAGGCGTGTCAGTGTGTGTGCATGGACACACGTGTTTGTGCTGTTGCACTAGGATGCTTGTGTGGAATGAAGATCAGAGCTTGTTATTTTTTTTTGCTTTTTTTGGAGAGGGGGCATACGTCTTGAAATAAACTGAATCTCTTACGATAACACAAACCCATGGATCCTTTTGGTGGCCATTTGAAGCTACATAACAGAAGTCCATGTATTTTCTTGCCTCACAAGGGCCAGTTGGCCTCTTGAAACTTGTCTATTTTATTCCAAATAGGAATAGGGGAACCTCAGCAATACATCACGGATCAGTGTCTTTCTCAGTCATGGGAGGATACGGCATAATGAAATATCAGAAACAGTCGGCATCTTTCTGCTGTTTAATCTATTATAAGTTTTATTTTGTGACTGCAGAGAACTGTATGTGCTTCTCATAGTTAACACTGGCAACGATCTTATGAAGTCGACCAGACTTATCACTTTGGTTTGCAGAAGGTTGTGTGAAGCCCGAGAGAGTCATGTCGTGGGTTCAGGGGCAAAGCACCAATCATAGCAACACCAGAATCTGAGCCCCCAGACCCAGCAGCTCCCTGAGCACCCATCTGTGGAGCCACCAGGCTGTTTCTGTCCAGAACCTTCCTTGCAACACAATTGCAGAGGCATTTAGGTCCAAAAGCCTCAGTCTTGCGGTGGACATGAACACTTCCAATACATAGACCCAGCTCTTTAAAAACATGTTCACAGAAATTCAAGAGCAAGACGCCCATGATTGACAGTTCAGTTCTTCCTAAGGAGCATGGCCAGGAATGCAGTTTTAGATGTAGCCATCCCGAGACCACAGAAGGCATTAGAAGAGCCTAGAATCAGAGTTAAAGGGTCCATTTAACAGGCTGGCGTATGTGTCTTTACCTCAGCTGGCGGAGTAGATTTAAACTTGCATTTAATGTCTTTTTGATTTGTTTAACAGCTGCGAACATATCAGAGCTAATCTTAGCTATTTCCATTACTGATGAGCATCATCTCGATGTCATATTATCTTTAATGGTGGCCACATTTTCTCAGATAAATGGAAAAGTAACCGTGTAAAGCAGAGAGTAACACTTCCATCGGGTGGGGCGGCGCGTAAGGCGAGACTGGGTTGGATTTGAGCAGATCATTCCTCTATAATCGAAGATGGATGAGTACACTTGCCGTTTATCAGCTTCTCCCCTCCTTCTTGCTGCTTTTCACCAACATTAACCAAGAATAGAAAACACTGGGCTGGTTGTCTATTAGCTGTTGTTTCCAACTGTCTGTCAGGAGCCGAGTTATTTGTGGGTTTGGGGAACCAAGCCTTGGAGGAACGCTTGGGGCATCCTGAGGTTGCTGGTTGAAGTGCTTGTCGCTGAGAATATGCTGAGTTTTCCAAATCACTCTGAGCTGACTTCTGTCTGTGAAACCAGATACACAGAGGAAGCTGCAGAGGCGGAACCAGTGTTGACAATAGACAGAAACGAGGAGCGGGTGACTGAAGACCCAAGGACACTTCTGCCATGGGCCATCCATTTTCCTAATTGGCCACAGCAGGCTCCTCACAGAATGCTCCTTAGGAAAAGCTCTCCAAATGCACATTTGGGGACAGACTCCTAGCAGATCCCTGCCACAAAGCTGAGCTCCTTCTCCAGCTCGTTGCGAAAGCTGATCTTTCTGGACAGCCCCAGCTTGCTGTTTCCAGTTACCTCTTGGCCACCTGCATACTGCAGACTCCGCAGGTCCAGAGCCAAGTTCATCCTGTTCCCACCACCCCGCTCCCCTCCCCAGACCTTCTCTGGTCCCCTCAAATCTCTGATGTCATTATCCATTCAGTCTTCTAGGCATTCCATCTTGAAGTCTTTCCTCTTCCTCAAATTCTAATGTGCGTTAATTCTCTGCTGCTAATTCTGAAATCTCTCTCCGCCTTGCCCTCTCCTCTTTATTCCTTGAACTCAGGCTGTCATCTTCTGTCACTTGAGCTATTGCAACTGCTTCCCAGGGTGGGTCTCATCTTAGCACCTGCCACAGAGGATCCTGGCTCCTCCCCCACCATCCCGAGTCCCCAGGCTTCAGCTAGCGGAGCAGCACAATGACAAAACACCAATAGTTGGTTTTCTGGTTTCCTCCGAGAGAGGAGGCAGATTCTCCCACATTGGTGAATTCTGAATTTTTACCTTGATTTTTGACCTGGAAGAATTCCCAGTTTATAGCTCAGTGCCTTTCTGGGGATGCCCACAGGCTATTTTCTCCAAAGGAGTGGTGTGATAAATTATCTTCATAAAGACCCAGACCTTGGAATATGCTGGGGTCCGTCAAAGAGCTCCTGTCCAGCTGGGCGCTCTCCCTGTGCACGCTCACTGACCTTTCTAAAGAGGAGCAGCCCCAGCCCGGCCGTCATGACACACGCGTCCCCTGAAGCAGCCTGACTCAGCCCCTCACGGCTTTCACCTTCCGCTTAAACATCTGTGTAACACGTGTGTGGTTAGCCTTCGTGGAAAAGGAGAAGAAAACCATGTGATAAAAGAGGACCATGGAAAAGATCAACTGCTTTAAGCCAGGTTCTAGGAATTCCCGAGTAGAAATATGAATCCTGTATCACTGAGGAACTAAGTTAGGCTGCCATCCCAGCTTGGTTTGTAATTCAACATTTATATATTCTTTTGCAGTAGTGCATATTCAAAACATCTGTGAGAGTGGGGGCAGAATTATCAGCTCCATTCAACCAATTAGGAAAAATAAGACCCCAGTATATTAAATAATGTGAATTCGAACTCAGAGAATTCTGCTTCCTCCTCTAAGCCAGAGTAATTCTTCTGTAAGGATTTAGGATGGAGGACTAAGAACCTGCCTTCATTGACCTATTATTTAGCCTAAAAGAGACCTGCTCCCTCCAACTGCTCATGGGTCAGCTCACCAGCAGTAATTACCGTGGCTTTGGGGTCTTTATAATTACCTAAAAAGGAAAAAGGTCTGAGAGAAGGGAACTATCCATTATTAAGCATAATTGTTAATCTTCACAACAACCCTTGAAGCAGTATTATTATTCCTAATTAAAGATAAGGAGATGGGGGCCCAAGACGGTCAGGGAAATGGTCCCCCCAGCATGGCTGGAAAGTTCTTGCATCTGTTCAGTTAGATCTGACTCCAGTCCTTGAGCCCTGCCCCCTACCCCACACTGCCTCCCTCCCACAGGTGAAAAGTGACACCATGGTTGCTTATCAGAGCCTGCCTTTGCACCCGGTGTAGGTAGGGCCAGAGCCACCCCAGTCTAAGTTGATAAGTCTGCTCACCTTGGGTTCCACGCTTGGCCACGTCTGCAGAACCGGCGTCCATCTGCAAAGATGGTGTTAGCGCAGGTGCACCCAGCACTAGGTGAGAGGGGCCTGATGGTCCCGTTCTAGCACTCATGAACTCAAGGCGCCCCCTGCAGGGACAACGCCAAGTCACAAAGCTTGGTGACCTTTGGGAAACTCCACATTGGGCTAAGGAGGGGCATGTATCCATTTTCCCCAACTTCCAAGGTCCTATCAGCCCACCTGCTGTCATTTCTTTGCCATTTCAGTGCAAACCCAATATTGTGCCCTTGCACCACTCCCTTACCCTGGACCTTCCCTCCCCTTGCCGTTTGTCTCATACACACACGCACATGCACGTGCACGTGGGGTTGGCTCAATTGAGTCACACAGTTCTTTTATTTCTACCCCTGGGTTGCTAGGTGTGGTCAGTGGGGAAAAAAAATCATACAACTGCAGGTTGGCATGTGATCGATTGTGACCAATTTCACAGAGATCATCAATGTTTCAATATTTCGAGCCAATTCTGTCGAGTGTGCCTGCTCAGGGTCCTCTTCATTGCCCACAGTGGCTTCCCCTCTTGCCGCAGACTCCAGACCAGAAGCTCACGCCTTTGCTCTGAGGAGATGACATTGCTCGTGATTTTGCAGAGAAAACGGAAGCTAACATGGGTGAGCTCCATCAGCTTCCTACTCCCTTACCCACAAACTTAGTTGTATCTGCCCCATCTTTGTGGCGTCCTCACCCACTCACCACATATTCACACGTACACACCCAGTAAGAGGAAGAGGGACCCCTATCCCATCATCCAGAGTTGGGGGGGCCATGTGTACTCCACTTTCAGCCCTTTCCCCACCACAGAGAGCTCACTGCCTTGAGTCGCCCCTCTCTTTTTCTCTATCTTCGGCTGCTGCTTCTCCATGGATCCCTCCCCTCCATGACCATGCCTCTCCCACCCTAATAAAAGAAAATCCCTTCCCTTGACTTGCATCCTCCTCTGCTACTACCCTTTGCTGCCCGTTCTGTTCACAGCAAAGGTTCAGAAGGATGGGTCTACACTTACTGTCCCCCTTCCCACATCCCCTTGATTCCTCAGGTTGTGGCAGTCCAGCTTGTGGTCCCATCACCCCATGGTCACTGGGGGTCTCTAGGCCTGAAATTCCATAGGTGCTTTTCTACCCTCCTCTGCCTGAATCAAATGATGTTGTCATCTCTCTGCCCCGAAACTTACTTATGGCTCTTTGTGTGGTACCTCTTTATCTCTGTGATTGGCACCACCCCCCATCCAGCCCCCCAAGCCAGAAACTTGGGAGTCAACCTTGACTTCACCTGCTCTTTCCCACCTGCTCCCTTCTCTTCCCTCAGTCATTAATTCTTCTTATTTCTGCATCTTAAATAGCTCTTTATATCCATCCCTTACTTGAAGAGTATGAAGAGTAAGGGATGGATGCACATCCCCTGGGCTGTGTTTAGTAAATCTGTACTCGTCTGGAATTCCTCTTATTCGTCTCTGCTTCTGCTTCTGGCTC